GACCCCTCCCAGGGGCTGCCATGGTGTGAGGCCTTCATCTTTTATCATCTCTTGTGACTCACATCAGCTCTGCTAGTTTGGGATTATTATTTCCATTTTACTGAAGAAAAACTGAGGCTTAGAGAGCGTATGTGACCTGTCCAAGGTCACACAACCAGTGAGAGATAGAGGCAGAAGTCCTTCCTCGTTTACCACATGGGAAAATGCGAAACACTGTTTTATTAGACAAACACAGATCGAGGATCACAGACTGGAAGCTGGGTGAGGGCAAGATCTTTCCTTGCCCTTTGACCACTCTTTCCCTTGACAAATACCTACCTTGTACTTGACATAATGCTGTGTGCCAGGGGATCCCACTGTGAATGGAGGGACAAGGTCTCTGCCTTTACAGAACTCATAGTCCAGAGGGGAAACAGATGACACATGTGTAAACAGACAACATATTTTCAAATAATGATGTTGTGATGGAAATGCAAGGCCATGATTTGGAGCGATGAGGGGGTGGGTGGGTAGGGTTGCTTTAGAAGTGTAATCTCAGAGGCCTCCTAGAGGAGGTGATGTTGGCACTGAGACCTTCCTGGTAAACTGGGGCAAGTGCCAGGGGGAGGAAAGATTAGGACTTTTTCAAGAAGACTCGTGTTACTCCCATATTTTGTGGAGATGGTGTGAAGATGGGTAGTGGAAATGGCTCTGGAGAGGCTGGTAAGAGCCAGATCACATGGGGCTTGGAAGGTCATGGTGTTCAGTGCAGCAGGAAGACATTGGAGGGTTTAGGAAGAGGTGCTCTGATTTATAAGTTAAAAAGATGGCTCAGTGAGCCCCAGGAGAATGGACTGGGGCTGGGAGGGAGAAGGAGGGACATGGAGATTAAAGAAGGGAGGTGCAGGCACCAGATGTTGGTGGCTTGGGTTCCCATGTTGGCAGTGGGGATGTGAAGAGTGAATAGATTTGGGATATTCTGGGAGGTAGAAGCAATGGAACTTGCTGATGGCCTGGATCCCAGGGCCTAGAACATAGTAAACACTCAATAAATATTTGTTGAATGCGCGAGCAAAGGCACATTTTTGTGTCAGGCTCTCGTGTGCACCTTCCAGTGTAAGGCGTAGGACCCTAACGGTTTTCTTTCCCCTCTGCCCCGGGAACCAAAGAATGCAGGAACTGCCCAGAGGGCTGCATTCGAACCAGACTCTAAACTTCTGGGGATCTGGCTAGAGAGCAGCGAACACCCAGCCCGGGCTGCTCCAGGCTCCTAACCCATTTGGCATCTGCAGCAGGAAGGATGGAAATTGGACATGCAGGACTTCCCACAGGCAGAGAGGACCAGTCTGCCTTTTCCAGGATGCTGCTCCAGGATCCATGACATCTAGAGCAGCGAGGTATTTGTCACATGAGCTCCGGGACAGACCCTGATAGATTGCCACATGGATTTGGGTGTCTTTGGGAACATGTTATGAGCTTCTGATCGGTATCTGGGGTGGGGTTGGGGGACTAAAAGGGGACCTTGTACTCAGAGCTCTGGGCTGCCATGGGTGCCTGGCTGAGTGTCAGGGGAGGGTAGGGGCTGACCGAGGGACACTCCCAGGTCCCACCGACTGGAAGGAAACCTGAACAGGCTCTGGGCCAAATAATCACTGGGAAGAGAAGAAGAACATTTTCTCATCTGTTTAAAGGGCAACGAAGCACAGCAGTGGCTGGCCCAATGGGAGGCAGGGCTGAGGCCAGGCGGGTGAGGCCAGGCCGGGGAGGCCAGGGTTGCGACCCCCAGACCCACTACCCTCTCCTGAACCACCCCGCTGAGGGCTTGCTGCCTACGGAATGAACCGCTGGTGGTTGTCATTGTTAATCAAAATACGAATTGATTGATACTAAAACAATGACTTAAAAAGGCCCTTTTCAGGAATGCTGCTCTTGCTAATCCGTATCCATTATCTCCCTGGAGCCCTGGTGAGACCATTTATACCATTTCACAGGTAAGCAAACAGAGGCTCAGAAAGCTGGAGGGATTTTCTCAAGGTCACCTAGGGAGGCAGCTTGACTTCTTAGTTGCCCTTGGGGGATGAGTCCCCTACCTCCCATCAGAGGTTCCCAGAGGGAGCCCCAAATGAGGCTAAAAGGCTGGGGGGTCATTGTCCTTTGCCCAGTCTTTGTGTTTCAGCAGAGGGGTGGGAGGGTGGTATGCCTTTCTTCTGCCTAACCCCTCGGTGCTCAGGCTCTGGCTGGGGCCTGTTCCCTTGCCCAGTCTCTGCCCAGGGCTCCCTAGAGGCCCCTCCTGGGGCTTAGACTTGTTCTTCCCACCCCCTCCTGGGCTGTCAGAGAAGTAATTTCTCTTCAACCGGCTGGATTTGAATATGGAAACGATTTGTAATTACTCCAAGTCCTCCTGGGGCGGCATTATCACCAGAGTGAGTCTGGAAGGGCAGGGGCTCTTGGGAAAGGAGGTGGGGAAGCCCTCATGTGGGGAGGCACCTCCGGGAGAGCCTTCTAGAGGTTGGCCCTAATCTAGGCTGCTCCTGCACATCCCCTGGAGGTCTGTTCTCTCCACCCAGCTCCCACAGCCCTTGCTGCCTTGCTGACCTCGACACCGCGCCCTGTGAGCCCCCAAGGACGGGGTACCTTCTCTGTCAGTCCCTCACTCTGTCTGACCACCTGTCTTTCCCAGGGCATACATTTTTGTGGCTGAAAGAGTGGGGCTGAGAAGTCAGAGGGCTACCAAGGAACACAGAGACAGACAAAATGCTGCTGTCTTTCCAGAGCCAGCCCCTCCCCTTACCCCTGTACCCAGCTGGATCCTGGGGGGAGAGGGAGGGCCTCAAGGATCCAGCTGCATTACATCTGCGAGAGAGACCTGCCTGGGTTTCTCTGGGCTCTGGGTCTCTAGTATGCTAATGCAATGAATATTCATAAAGAAGGAGGCAGGCTCCCTGTGGGAGTGGAAGGGGCTGGAGCTCTCTGGAGTACTGGGTCCTGGAAGCTTCTGAGGACCTGTCCTTACATCCTTGTGCGTACCTCTTGTCCCGACCACTCTCCCCACCTTTGCCCACCTCCTTAAGGCCTGAATTCTAGCACACACACACACACACACACACACACACACACACTGTCCTTTGCAATGCCCAAGGAAGGCAGCCTGGGATCTCCCACTGCCCTTGGGGTGGCTCGACACACTCTGTAGATGGCAAGGCCTTTCTTGGCTTTCACAGTAGCGGCTGAGCCTCCAAACCCAGAGAACCGGGGTTTGCTTGAGATTGCCCAGCAGAAACCCAGGAGCCCTGCCTGCCAGTGCCAGGCTTAAGGCACAGGCCTCGGGCTCCCGCTGGGAAAGGAAAGGTGCCAGCCCTCCTCCCTGCCTCATACAGCCTCATAAATTCCCTTAAGGTGACGGGTGAGATTCCTTCATTGTCCCTTATTACCTCCTTCCATTAAAGTCGATAATCTCTCACAATCACTCACAACAAACGTCATCGAGACTACTGGGGGTGGGGGGAGAGAGAGGAAGTGAACAGGGGGCTTTTCTCTCTGCCTCTTCCTGGTACTGCCCCTGGGGGGATGCGGAATCTTCTCGTCCTGTCATGGTCTCCGGGGTGACAACTCAAGGGGCTTCAGTGGAGAGGTGGGCTTGGGATTGGGTGGACTGGGGACTTCCTTGCTTCCCAGGCTTAGCCCCCTCCTGGCCACAGAACCTTCAAAAAGTAGGGTTCCTGAAACGGTCCCAACCCTCACTGCAAAGCTGCCCCCTGCTGGCTCCTCCTCTGAGCAGAGTCATCCGATTAACCTACTTGTCTTTGGCCAAAGTGGTGTGTCCCTGCTCTGCCCACCTTCCTGGTGGCAACATGCCCCAGGCCACAAAACCACCGGACCAGGGCCCCAAGACATAGGCATCTCCCTGGGAACCACCTCCACCATGTGGGCTCTGGCCCCACCCAACTTCACGGTGCCAGGCTGGGGAGGGGGCAGGTCCGTACATTCCGGCTGCTTCTACGCAAACAGATGCAACATGGGGGCGCCCCTGGCACAGGAAAAGGCACTTGTGGGACTATACAGGCACTCAGGAAAACATGTAACACACTGCACACGTGTAGCATCCTCGTGCCTTGGGACATGCGACATTGCAGTTTACACTAGAGTTTCATGCACCAAGGGGACCACACTGCAGTGTCCATATGTGGCTCCTACATACAAGTGACCCAGAGCACTCAGCACATAGGTGGCACTTGTAAGCTTGTCCACATATAGTATCCCTACCCGCATGAACGGCCAACATACAAGACCTGAACACATGTTAACACACCGTGTACGTGTGTAGCAATTACATGCACAGAGCCAGACAACATTGCGGTGCACACACAGGCACCTGTGTGCACAAGCATATGCAAAGTTCAGCGCACGGGAGTGGCACCTGCATGCACAGGAATATGCAATTTGCAAAGCACAGGGGGGAGGGTGGGGCGAATGTTTCAGCCCCCCGGGGCTCCGGAGACTCTGGCTGCGCGAGCTGCGTCTGGCCTGGGGTATCGCCGGAGGGGCGTCGCGGATCGCCGCATCTTGCGGTCCAGGAGGCCGCGGGCGGGGCGGGGGCTTACCCGGGGCTTCTCCCGCGCCGGCGCCTGGGGCCCAGGGCGGGGAGGAGGAGGGTGCGCTTGGCTCGGCTGGCGCTGCTCCCCCTTTAACAGGAGGCGGCGCGCGTCGCCCCCGCCCCCCGCCCCTTCTCCCGCGGCTCCTCGCGCCCGGCCTGGCGCGCGCCCCCTCCCGGGCCCAGCCCGCGCAGGCGCCGCGTCCCGCCTCGGCCGTCACTCGGCCCGGCGCGCGCTGCGGGCAGCGGCCGGAGCGGCCGGAGGAACCGGGTTTGGCGGCGGCAGCGGCGGCGGCGGCAGCGGCGGCGGCGGCAGCGCTCAGAGACCGAGGATGCGGCGCCGGCTTTTGGAGCCCGGGGCTGCGGCCGCCGCCCGCGAATAGGAGGCGGCGCGCGGCGCGGGCGGTGCTCGGGGCGGGGGAGCGGGGGGGGGGCGGCGAGGAGGCGGCGGCAGGAGCCCGCGCCCGGCCCGGCGCCCGCCCGCCCCGCGCTGCTCCGCGGCGCCTTTTCTGCACCCGCCGCTCCGCGGAGCGGGAGCCTCGGCCCCTCCGCGCCGCTGCCTCGAACTGCCCCGAGCCCGGCCAGGCCCCCGCCTTAGGGATGGCAAACTTGCGCCCCGTGGCTGCCTCCGCCAGCGCCGGCCCCCGCTCCTGCTGCTGACGGCGCCCAGGTGAGTGCTCGGTCCCAGACCTCGACTCGGCCCCGCACTGAGCCCTCCCGGCGCGGTCCCGAGTTTCCGCACCGGCCTGGACTCCGGGCGCTCCCCTGCCCCATCTCTGTTGAATCCTCCCCCTCCCGAACTGAGTTCTTTCTGCATCTACCCACTCCCATCTCTTTGGGAACTTCCAAGCCTGGGGCCGAAGCCCCTTTCATCTCTGGTAAGTCCCTTTTCCACCCTCTTCCCCTTACCCATTTCTGCTAAAGCCCCCCCCCTCAAATCCTGACCCAGACCTTACCCCCATTGCTGTCTGGAGTCTCTTCTTATCTTAGCCTGGATCCTGGCAGTGCGCCCCCCACCTTGATTAGAGCCCCTTTCTCCAACCTGCAGCTCGACTGTGTATTCCCCCTTAATCGCCCCTCCTCGTCTGGATGCCGGACCCTGCTCCTCCCCTCCACTTCATCTCTGCCCAGAGTCCTTCCTATTCCCATCCATGTCTGCCCATAGTTACTGCCTTTCCCCGCGCCAGTACCCCGACCATGCTTCCCTTCTTATTTCTGTCCCGATGCCTCCTCCCCCATATCTGCCTGGAGTCTCTCTATCCCTCGCCAATCTCTGCTGCAGGTCTCCTCCCCCTCAGCCTGGACTTGGGGCCGTGTACCCCATGTCTGCTCCGAGCCCCCTCCTCCCCGGCCAGGATCTCGACTGGCCCTGCATCCCTGGCTCCCGTGTCCATCTTTGGTCGGAGTCTGTCCATCCCCCATCCTTCTCTTCCCACCCCTGGGGCATAGAGCCGGGCACCAAACGCACCCTCCCGCAGCCCCGGGGACTGGCATGATGGGGTGGGGGCGGGGGGGGTTGTAGGTTGTGAAGTTGGCGGCCACTCCCGCAGTCAGCTCGGTACGAGGGAAGTCCTCTGCGCCGCGGCCGGTGCAGAGCGGGTGAAGGGTCTGGTGCCCGCGGGGGGAGGGGCTCCCGGGCCAGAGATACTGTCCTCCTGCCCGCCTCGCCAGCTGCCGCCGGGCCCCTGGGCGTCCTCTGGCGCCCCCTGCCCGCAGTCCTGGACCTGCCGCCCCTTTTCCTTCCGCGGGTAGCCCCAGGTTTCCGCAGCCGGAGCAGCAGTGGTGGCTGCGGGACTGGCGCTGGGAAGTCCCTGGGGAAGAAGAGGTTGGCGGGCGAGGCCGGGTGCCCCCTCGTGCTAGCCGTGTGGGAACAGTTCTGGTTGTCAGATCCTCTGCTCTGGGGATGGGGTGGGGTGAGGTGGGGTGGGGTGGGGTAGAAGGCTTATCCCAGCAGGAATTCAGGAGCCCTTTGAGCTAGCAGGGACAGACCAGCAGTAATGACCGCTAGATTTGAGATGGTCTGGATGGGCTCTTTTAGGCTTGGGCAGGTGTCCCCAGGGAGCCTCTGTCTACCCTATGGCAGTCCCCACTAGGTGGTGGGTGGGGGCAAGGTGGGCTTAGTCCTGTTTGGGCATGGCATAGGCGGTGGGGGAGTCCACCTGGCCCTAGGACAGAGCAGGCACCTGGGGACTGTCGCCCTGCTGCCATAGGGGTCAGTGGGGACTCTGGATGGGTTATGCCTTGATGGTGGTGGTGGTGAGGCTTGAGGGAGGGTCTTCCCTGGACTGAGATTGACAGATCCCCCCCCCTTCTTCTCTGCCTTCTCTTCTCCCCTCTTCTATCCCCCTTCCCCCATCACTCTTGAGAAAGGGAGAGGTCTAGCCTGAGGTGTGTGTGTGTGTGTGTGTGTGTGTGTGCGCGCGTGCGGTAGGCATTTCTGTAACCCCAAGTGAAGTCTCAGCTGGTCTCTGCCCTCTTCTCTCCCTCCCAACACCCAGGTAACGGAGTTGAGTAAGTAGATAGTAAGTCAGCTTTTGGCCAGATGACCTGGGTTCAAAAAGCTTTGTGACCTGGGCAGGCTGTGTAACATTTCTGAGCCTCAGGTGGCCCTCTATAAAATGGGTCAGTGATAAATGCCTCATAGAGTTGCTGGGAGAATGAAATTAGATTGTATAGAATGTCTGGCACCTAGTAATGCTCAACAACGATTGGTTTATTGGGCTGTCTTTAAGAGCAAGGTCAGGCCCCTCTCCACACCATTCCTATTCCCAGAGGAAAAGTGCAGAACAGGTTCTAGTGACTTCACTCTAACCCCCAGGATCATAAAGCCAGAAACCACCCAGCTCCCAGAGAGGGTCCAGGGAGCCTGTGACTGTCAGCCTCTCCCCTCCCTCACCCATCCTTCACCATCCCACTGGACTGCTCTGGGATCTGCTCTGGCCACAGGCTCATCAGTGAAAGCCAGGCCAAGGCTTCTGAGGTTCTGGTTCAAGTGTAGGGTCTGGGGAGGTAGGATAAATGCAAGGAAGAAACCCAAGACAAGGTCCCCAAAGGTAGGCTTGCCTGTTAGGGGGGCCCACGTGGGAAATCAGCCACAGAAGAGTACATGGTGCACAGAGGAACCTCTTACCTCTCCCCAGGGGGTCAGATGCCATCGGGAACTTTCCAGGACAGTTAATGCTCCAGGTCAGAGTTAGGGGGCGACCTGGCCTGAGGACCCCAAGAGTTCGAAGAAACCTGGCTTTGCCGGGAGGAAGGGCGGGTGAGGGGGAGAGAGAACGCTCGAATCTGTGGCGTTTGGCTGCTGGAAGCCCTCTGGGCAGTGTGGCTGGGTCTGGGTCCCACCGGGGAGTTGCAGCCTCCCAGCCTCCAGTCTGCCCGGGCAGCCCTGACATTGGGGAACAAAAGCTTTCGGTTCCTGTAGCAACGGCGGCTCCAGCTGCTGCAAAGTTCCGGGGAGGCGGGCGGAGGGCGGCTGAGTCACCGCCCCCTCCCCCCCCCCGCCGCCCTCACGGCCCCGCCCCCTCCACCCCCCCGAAGTGTTGTGCGGGAGGGCCCCTCCCCCAGCCGAAAGACCCCAGAGCTAGAGGAGGAGTGGCCCTCTTTGCCTTGTGGAGAAGGCGGCGCCGCACTCGGAGAGCCCCCTCCCCTCGGTCCTGCCCACCAGCTCCAGAAACTGGATGGAGGTGGGCGCCCTCCTGGGTATCAGAGCTCCGGGAGAACCCCCCCGCCCAGGGTCTTAAGGATCCTGCCACCCGGCCGGTGCATGGGCAGGGGACCCGAAGGCCCCGAGTGGAGGGTCCCCACCCGCGTGTCGGCCTGGGCTCGGCCCCGCAGCGAGTGCCTGGGAGGCGGAGGGTGAGTGACGGGCCGGCGAATTGGAGCTGCCAGGTGGATAAACGCGACCCATGCGCGCACCGCCTCGCCCCCTCCCCCACCGCCACCCCTCCCCCGCCCGGGGCCCCGCCTCCTGGCGCTCCGCTGCCCAGCACCGCTGCTCACAGCCCGCAGGGCGCAAGGGGGTCGATCCCGGGGATCCCAGAGCCCCAGCCCTTGCCCTGAGGTGCCCCCCCCCCACCCCGCGTCTCCAGTCTTGTCCCTGCCAGCTGCTGCGAAAGCCTCCGATTCCCTCTTCGGTACAGAAGGGGAAGCCCGAGGCCGGCGGCCTGTCGGGTTGGGGAGGAACAGGGTCTCAGTGTGCTTGGGCAGAGGGTGGGATTCTCAGTTCTGCTGGCGGGTGACAGGCATGTGGTGGAAGAAGCCCAAGGGGGTAGCCCAAGTCTCCCAAGGGAGACTGAGATTATGCCAACCGGCAGCTCACCCATCTCAGCCCACTGAAATCCTGAGTGAGGGAGGAGGACTTTTGATTATCCTCTCCATTAACCTCCTGACCCAGGAAGTTCTTCCTCAGAGCTGAGCTCCATACCTGTCCTCTACAGCTCTTGGGCACGTTTGTGATCGTGCTGGGCTTGGAGGTAGCAAAGTACTTTCCGTGTTTCAGCCCAAAGGGCCTTCCCAGAGATAGTGGTGGACCTCAGTAGGGAATCAGGGAGTTTGTGAGGTTCTCAGAAGGAGGGAAGAAGGGGAAGTGAGCACGTGAGTCCTCAGCCTGGGCCAGGCTCCGTGCTAGGAACTCACCGGGAGGCTGAATGAGAAGGGTGGCCCAGTCCTGAGGGCAGGGGTCATGGTCTCCATTCCACAGAGGGGGAAACTGAGGCTCAGGGAGGGTGATCATGGCCCATGACCACCCGGGCTGCCTGTGACATAAGGATTCTTCTAGGTCCCCTCCCAGGAGAGGCTCTCTCTGACTTAGCTTGGAATTAGGCTTTTTGCTTTTTTTTTTATGGATGGGGAATGATGTTAAAATAAAGGGCCCCCAGAAGTCTTATGTCACTGAAGGAACCACGAGGGTTATAGAGACCCCAGGTGAAATTTCACAGTTGGTGTGAAGGGGGTGTCTGAAGGAGACTGAGCGGAGGAGGGGGCTTAGGCAGGGTTTCAAGGTGGCTCAGTTGTGCAGAAGCTGGGCTGCACCTCGGAGGGTCTAGACCTAGGTCTTCTTGATTGGTCAGGGCTGTGGAGGAGGGAGCGGCTGAGGCCCAGGAGGCAGGGTTGGGGGCGGGGTCTGAGCCCCCCATCTTCAGGAACTGCACACAAAGGAAGGAGCTGCAAGTCAGATCCTGCCTGACACTTAGCTGTCATGAGCTAAAGCCTCAAAGAGCCAGCTACCTGGATGTATTCACACGAGCAGAGTACATTTGCCTCCCTGTGCAAGTGTTTAAGTGGTTGGCTCTTCATGCCTTGTACATGTGAGTGCCTGTACCCTAGTGTGCGTGTGAATTCACAGTGGCTTCACTGATCTGTGTGTGTGTTTGTGTGCATGGGTATCTGTTCATGTGCAGAATGCCTGTGAACACCTGTCTTTTCATGAGTCTGTGCATATGTGCCTTGGTGCACACGGCAAAGCAATGTTCAAGCTTGTGCATGCGTGCGTGTGTGTGTGTGTGTGTACGCGTGTAGTAGTCCCCACCCTGCTCTAAGTGGGGGAGGCGAGGCCAGTTATAATGAGCCCCCACCTCCCCTCTGCTGAGCTGTAGCTATGGCCTGAATTTTGCAGCCTGCTTAAAAATAATTGGGGGCAGCGGGGGGGATCGGATGTCACTCATCATCAGCTCCTGGCTTTGCTGGTGCCGCAGCGGGCCGGGCGGGCTGCACGGTTTGGGACAGGCATGATGTGGGGCAGGGATGGCAGGGCTCCTGCGTCCCTTTGTCAGTTCTGGCGAGAGCAGTGGAGATGCAGCCTGTTCTGACTTCTGCTGAATAACTCCACACGGGTCTCTGGAAGAGGGTGGGGTGGCTCCTCCCCAGTAAATGAGCCTGCCTGAGCTGGTCCCTCTACCCACCCTCTCCCCCATAGTTGAGGAGGGGCAGGTGCGGGATCTGGGGCAGTGAGGCGTTCCTTGGATGCTGCACAGGGATTGGAATTCTGGGGTGCTAATTCCTGCCCGCCCACCCCTGCCCTGCCAGCCTCTGTTGAGGCTCCCAAAAAGCCAAGGGGAAATCTGTGCCTGAGGAGCCTTTGGGTCTTGGGAACATCTGGCTACACCTGTGAATTATTCTCTGTTTGTGACTCAAGTTCCCAGAGCTAATGGCTTGTCTTTTGGGCCTGAAGCCTGGGCAAGGAAGGGGATGGAGCAAGAGGTTGTTGGTGGACCAGAGGGAACCGCAGGCCAGGGGCTTCAGATCCAGGCTTCTACTCCCAGCTGGATCTCTCTTGTGTGATCTTGAGCAGGTTGCTGCCCCTTTTGGAGCCTCATCTTTTCTCCTCTAATGTGGAGCAACCAGGCTCTAGGGGCCCATCCAGTGCTGTGAGCTATGCTGCTGGCATGGAGGAGGGAGGCATCGTGGATCACCTCGGGGGCAGGGCTGGAAGCAGGACTGAGCCAGCCTAGGTGCCAGGCTCTGTTTTCTGGACAGCTAGGGTGGAGGCTGGGCGGGCTGTGGGCAGTGGCTCTGGCCTGGCCTGGTGGGTGGGAGGGTACCTGCAGGCGCCCTGCCCACCAGCTTTTGTCCACTTGGGCCTGACCACCCTGCGTATCTGTCAGGGTGTGGCCTGGGTCCTGGTTGCCTGCCCACACCAGGAGTACATTCACACCTGCTGGGCATTCAGCTCCGTGCAGCACTTGGCCGGGAGGGAGACATCGGTGAACTCTTGTCTCCACTCCTAGGAGATTGAAGACTCCTTGAGATGAATGAGCTAGCCTTGGGGGGACAGCAGGGGATAGAGGTGATGACCAGGGCTATGGACTCGCAGGCAAGGGCTGTAGGAGCTGCAAGCTGGGAGATGGCTTGGTGGTCTCACTGGGAGTAGCGGGCCCTGAGCCAGGCCTGGGAAGATAACCCCATGGCAGGAAGGGAAGAAAGGGTAAGGGGAAGAGTGCACCCATTTTGCAGATGCCTCCCCCCATTGTTTCCACTAGGAAACCCACCCCATAAGTACTCATGACATTCATCCTTGCTACATCCCCTCCATGCGCGTGGCTCAGGTTTCTCCAGCCCCTGGCTCGCCAGTAACTTCTCCCCTTTCCCCACCCACTCAGTAAAGCAAGTGAGAATATTGTTCCGGGAATAACCTTGAATTGCTCTGATTTATAAAAAAGCAAATTGTTGTCAAACATTGCTCCTTTGACAGTTGCCACTGGATTACGCGTGACACGCCTCACAGCTGATCACGATACACTGCGACTGAGAGCAAGGGTTCTGGAGAGTTCCGGTTGGGTGGCGGGGACGGGGCTAGATCCAAGAGTCAGGCCAGGTGCCCGTGGCTGGTGGGACTGACCGAGGAATCACAGGGTGACAGAGACAACAGAGACAATCACAGAGACAACAACTGATGTGTTTTCTTAAGGGCTGCCAGAGTCAGGCACTCTCCCACATGCTTTCATTGTACAGGTAAGGTGACCGAGGCTCCTCGCAGTGGAGTCCTCCCATCTAAGACCACACAGGTGGACATGGGTGACTTCAGAGTCGTCACCACGAGGCTCACCAGGAGTGAGCCACAGGAGACTGAGGGCTCAGGCTGGCCGTGCCTGGGACCGCTGACCACCATCTCTCTCCACAGGGCAAGGGACATAGGATGACCCCAGCCTGTCCCCTCTTACTATCTGTGATTCTGTCCCTGCGCCTGGCCGCCGCCTTCGACCCCGCCCCCAGCGCCTGCTCCGCCCTGGCCTCGGGCGTGCTCTACGGGGCCTTCTCACTGCAGGACCTCTTCCCCACCATCGCCTCGGGCTGCTCCTGGACCCTGGAGAACCCCGACCCCACCAAGTACTCCCTCTACCTGCGCTTCAACCGCCAGGAGCAGGTGTGCACTCACTTCGCCCCCCGTCTGCTGCCCCTGGACCACTATCTGGTCAACTTCACCTGCCTGCGGCCTAGCCCCGAGGAGGCGGCGGGGGCCCGGGCTGAGGCTGAGGCCGAGGCCGAGGCGGGGCAGCCAGAGGAGGAAGAGGAGGCGGCAGCGGGGCTGGAGCTGTGCGGCGGCTCGGGCCCCTTCACCTTCCTGCACTTCGACAAGAACTTCGTACAGCTGTGCCTGTCGGCAGAGCCCTCAGAGGCCCCACGCCTGCTAGCGCCCGCCGCCCTGGCCTTCCGCTTCGTCGAGGTCTTGCTCATCAACAACAACAACTCCAGCCAGTTCACCTGCGGCGTCCTCTGCCGCTGGAGCGAGGAGTGCGGCCGCGTGGCCGGCCGGGCCTGTGGCTTCGCCCAGCCCGGCTGCAGCTGCCCCGGGGAGGCGGGGGCCGCTCCCGCCACCACCACGCCTCCAGGCCCTCCTGCTGCCCACACTCTGTCCAATGCCCTGGTGCCTGGGGGCCCGGCCCCTCCCGCTGAGGCCGATTTACATTCAGGGAGCAGCAATGACCTGTTTACCACCGAGATGAGATATGGTGAGTCTGAGCAGGGCCCTGGTGGGGTGGGTACGTCAAGGCGGCCCAGGGGGCCCTCTGATGCCTGTCTGGACAGATCCCCCAGGCCATTCGTGTGGTCCTTCACCCACGTCCCCTCTGTGTCCGGCCTTGTTCCGATGTTGGGGTCCCTGAAATGAATTTGGGTTAGACCTCACTCTCGAAGAGGTTGCAGTCTGGGCAGGGTGAATGGGGGGCAGAGATCGGCCAGTGTGGTGTGGTGAACCTGGGGAGAGGACGCTCCACACTGGGCAATCAAGGAAGGCTTCCTGAAGGAAGTGATACAGGAGCAGAGATCTGAAGGACGAGTGGAAGCCAGCCAAGCCAAAGAAGCGGTCAGGGCATTCCAGGCAGAGGGAGCGGTGCGAACAAAGGCCCCAAGCTGGGAGTGAGCGTGGCAGGTTCTGGCACTGCAAGTTGACAAGTTTGCCTGGAGGCCAGAGAGTCAGCAGGGAGCAGGGACTTGTTCCTGTCCAAACGGGTCAGTGACTTTTGGCAGTGGCCCCAGGGTCAGGGCAGAGGGAGGTGCAGAAGAATGTGCCTGGGTGAAGAGGCCCCGGCTTCGAGGCTGCCTTGGAGGGCTGGACTGGCTCAGCTCCCAGCATCCCCCATCTCCCCCTCTGGGCCCATGTCTTCTGGGACCGAGGCTGCCAGCTGCTAGAGCTTCCTGCTGACTGGGCAAAAGCTCTGCGAGCCCTCAAGTCCTGGCGGCTCTTGCTCCCACAACAGCTCCCTCAGCACAGCCACCTTCAGCCCACCCTCCTTCCTGCAGCTTCAAGGCCCCCCATCCCCTCGTCTGGATCCCGAGTCCCAAGACTGGCCAGGGTACCTGGCAGGGAGTGGGTTGGGAGGAAGGTAGATCTGGGATCCGGTCCCCAGCTCTGGTGCTAAGAGGGAGTTCCCTCCCTCTCCGGGCCTCAGTTTCCCCATTTGGGGTAACAGGTCCTGGCCTACCAGTATGAGGATGTCATGCAGGGCTGGAAGTCAGAAGAAGCATCTAGATCTGCCTGCGAGTATTTACAGGGAGGCAAGGGGTCTTGTGTGAGGGCCACTAGGAATGTTGGAGTATGACCTGTCCCCGCCCCTACTTTGGAGGCCAGAGCCCTGGAGTTGGGCACCGCTTTTGACCGTCCCCTTCCGCGGATCCCATCTTTTGGCATCAGTTTCTTCATCTGTAAAATGGGGAGATATCTCTCTATTAGAGGGGCTAGTTATCGTGACCGTGGCCTCTCCCAATGCGGTGGGGGGAGGCTCCTCAGCCTCCCCCAGGAGACATCTGGCACCATGCCTATCCACGGCAAGTGCCCAGTGGCCTTGCTCTGGCCTCTTCTCCTGGCCAGCTTGGCCTTTAACATTGGTCGATGAAGCCGTCCGAGTGACAGCCAGGCCGTGGGCAGGTTACAGGCCCTGGAGGCCGGCCTGGGATTTAGTGCCTGCTGGAAGAAATTGAATTTCGCTTCTTTGTCGAACATCGGCGGAGAGTGCCAGGCGTATATCAGGAGGTTTATGGCTCTTCCTGCCTGGCGGTCACTGCCTAGGACTCTGTGGGGGCATCCCCCATCATGCTCAGCAGAGGGCAGGCTCTTTTGTCTGGATTTCCCTGTGGTCCATTGGCCCAGTGGTCCGCAGTGGACGGAGCAAGGCTCTCCCCTCATGGGCGAGCAGCATCTGGGCAGGCTGCCATGTGGAGCACGGAGCCAGGAGCAGCCAGCTGGGGTGGGGGAAGCCGGAAGCAGGAGTTGGTTGATAGTTGGGGTGTCTTTGGGAGTCAGAGAGGGCTGCTTATGGGAAGGCCACCATGGTTGCCATCATCATCACAGCCTCTGCAGGGGCCTCTGGGACTGGGGATGCGTGGAGATTGGATGCTCCCAGTCCCTGGGCACGAGGCCTGGTATCATCTCCGAGCAGGGAGCCTCAGGCTCCCAGCTGTTCCACGCCTGACCTCAGCTCTTGCTCCTTATCCTGCTTGGCCTGTTTTCAGGATGCTCTTTGGGTTGCCTGGAGGGAGGGCCCTTGGGGGGAGTTGCCAGGGCTGAGGTGGCGTCTGTCTTCCTAAGTGGGCTGGCACAGGACACTGCTGCCCAGACTTCCTTCCTTTCCCCGGCAGGCAGGCAAGAGACTTTCCCTCTCTGCCACCTCCTTCATTCTGCTCAATCTCTTCGGGGCAAGAGACAATGGACATATGGCTTAGTTCGTTCCATGTGGCAGGGGGCGTCGGAGGGCCAAGACATCATCAGGGCTCAGGGCACTTTGGCCTGGTGGCAGCACCACCCCTGCCCCGCTGGGCCAGCTGGACACACGTACCAGCCCGGGGAGAACCGGCTCGCACGTGGAACTGCCAGATTGAGGACAAGATTGGTGGGGATGGTGGCGAGCAGGGAGAGTAAGACCCTTGGCCTGGCCCCTCTGCCAGGTACTTCAGCAAGGGAGTGGTGCTCCCCTTCCCTGGGAGACCCTGAGTGGAGTGCATGGCAAGGCCAAGTAGAGTGGGGCTGGGGCGCTGCTGGAAGGGCCACGAGGCCGGGCGCTGGTGGGCAGCGCTGGAGCGGAGTGCCGGGGCCCGCCTCAGAGCTGAGTGCACTTGACAAGAGGGTACAGGCGCCTGTTAATTTCACGCAAACTGCCTTTGATAGATCTCTTGTTATTTTTGGTGAGTTGAGCCATAAATTTGTGCCATCTTGCTGCCGCAATCTGTTAAGTGGGGAGAGAGGAAGAAAGGGAAGGCAGGCAGGAAGGAGCTCAGCGGATGCCGGCCGAGGCCGGGGCAGGAATCGGGGGCGCAGTTGGGGGGTGGAAGAGAGAGCTGCCACCCCGCAGTTCCTGCCCGCAGACCCTCGTGACCTGATGAGGCACAGGCCAGTGGGGAGGGCTGTGTGGAGTGATACCCGGGAGAAGGTGTCTTTCGCTCTGGCAGCCCTCCCCCTCCTCTCTCACACACTCTGCCCTCCCCAGAGCCACTGTTCCATCCTTGGCTGGTTACCACTCACCCACCTCCCCATCACCCCGGCTCCATTCCTGCGGCAAAAGTTCACATCCCCGCTCTGCCATTGCTGTAGGGTGACTTGGACAAGGGGCTGCCCCTGGGGGCCTCAGGACCTCTCGTCCTCTGCATATCACTTCCCTGATCCAATCCCCAGACTCCCTGTCGCGTCCTAGACTCTTGAACCTGGCATTCCGGCCCCATCCCAGACCCCACTGCCCCCTGCTATTCAGTCTTCCTTCTGATTCTATCCTGCCCTTGACCGGGGCTCCTCACTGGCCCCGGAGTCCCTGCTTGCTGGACTCCCCACCTGTGCTTGGCTGTTTCCTAGAATGCCCTTTGCCCTCGGTTATCCAGATCTTCCTCATTCTTCCCAAAGCTGCTCAAGCCCTGTTTCCTCCAGGAAGCTACTTCTACCTGCCCAACCCAGTCCTCGATTGGTCTTTCTCCTCCCAGCGCTCACGCCCTGCTGTCCTCTTTTGGCCAGGCTTGTCTGGTGGCAGGAAACGCAGCCTTCACTGCTTGTTTGGGGCTCAGACACTGGGGAGGCTGGGCCTCTCTCAGAGCAGGAGCGAGAGGGCAGGGAGACCTAGAGAAGGTTCTTCCAGTCCCGACCCGTGCCGCTGGAGCTCTGTGTGCTCCGTTACAGGATGGTGGGGGCGGGGGCAGATTCCTGAGACATCTCAGCAGGGACCCAGTCCCAGCCTGTCCAACATGCACATCTTCATGTCTTTATCAGAGTGGAGTGTGTGCCAGGCCTCGGGGCGTCTCTGAGTGGATGAGATCCGAGATGAGCCAGACATACCTGCCCTCTGATTGGGGAGAGCCACCACTAGGGGACAGTGATCACAGGCTGAAGTCGCCCAGTCCCTGGTTCAGTTCCCAACCCCACCACTGACTAGCTGTGTCCTCACCTTCACTTTACCACCTGTAAAATTGCTAGTAGAGCCTATTCACGGAGTTACCATGAAGATGAAGCAAGAGACTGTGGGTCAGTGCTTAGCCCAGTGTCTCATACGTGGTAAATCCCTAGTTGGTCGCCACTTGGTGTCCTAATTTAGTTCGGTAGGTATGATGTACATGGACCAGAGGTCAAGGGAGGAGGAAGAGTGAGGGATTCAACCACAGAGTGGGGGGAAGGCAGTCTAGAGAAGGTGATTCGGAGTTGGGTTTTGAGGACTGGATAGGAATCCACTAGCCCGTGAAATTTTTTTTTAATTGAATCACTTTTAAAGTCAAATGTATTAGGAAGAAATTTCACATCATAAACAGAAAGGGAGTATCACTTATTTGAAGGAGAAGATAACGGAAGAGACAACCGTAGTGAAAACAAAGCGACGGTAGTAAATTCTAACTAGCTGCTTGTCTTTCCTCTCGATTTGTTAGAAAGAGAAATGAGCACGTGCTGGGGACTTTTATCTTGTGTGCGTTTGGAAGGATTAAAAGTAAAGCAGCCCTATAATTTATTATTTAACTGGGACATTTCTGAGGTTTTAAAGTAGGGGAAGGGGTCCTATTCCTGACATCAGGGCAGGCACAAAATATACCACCCCAGGCAGATTGGTAGGAACTCACCCTAATTAAAAGAGACCTGGAAGGGGGAACTGCCTCAGTCCACGATCCAGCGTTGTTTAATGGAATGTTTGCGAGCCACCCCAAGTCATTTCCTACTGCATGCTTTGGGGCAGCTCTGCAGGAGGAAGCAGCCCGTGCAAGAATGTGGAGGTGGGCATGTGGTTCTGGGGGCCTAGTAGACTGGCGCTACTGGGCAGTAGCCTTGGAGATGGGAGATGGGGGCCAGGCTCTGACTGCCATCCCCAGACCCTGGGACCCTGCCCCCACTGGCCGAGGGTGGTAAGGCAGCAAGAAGTTGGGTGTCATGGGGGAGGCCAGGAGGATGGATGAGGCTGGATGAGTCAGATGTGGTCCCTGCTCTCCAGGAGCCGCTGGCCACGTGGGGGAGGTGGCAGTGCCCCAGCTTGCTCTGGTGAGAGGCTGGGCC